CTAACTAACTAACTAACTAACTAACTAACTAACTAACTAACTAACTAACTAACTAACTAACTAACTAACTAACTAACTAACTAACTAAAACTTTACTTGGCACAACGCAAGTTCGCAGTTTTTATTTTTTATTTTACTGAATCTGGTAAGCTTAATGCTCACTTGTGCACAACTCAACAGTGTTTTTGCTCTTTGCATCCAAACTAAAACAAATTTGTCTGATGAGCGCTTGACTCGACAGTGAACTGCAGCCACAAAGGAGGCGCCAATTTTACAGCGTATCTGAAATGTGACAACAAGCGCCACCTAGTGGGCTTACAGAAAAATCAAAAGGGGAGGGGTAAAGGAACACTTGTAGCTAAAAAGAATAAATTGATTTATGGTATGATAAATAAGAGATCAGAAAATGTATTTATAATGAATTTCAATGGGTCGATCATGTCCCTGAAGGAATACCAAATGTTAGTAAAGAGAGCAGGAGTTTATGGTTCAGGTAGGTAAATAATGGGAACTGACCGGGCTCCAGGAGTCCGAGTCCTCCCCACGGCTCACTTTGCTCCAGAGCAGAAAGTTCAGCTTCTTCCCCGAAGGCTCTTGACTCTGTGCTTTAACTTCCTCCGTGCTCAGTGGTGGCTCCGGCACTGCTGGATCTTCCAAGATTTGGTTCTGGTTCTGCTCCTCGACTGCGCTGTCCTGTTTTTGGTTTTTCACTATTGTTCTGTCCAGACCGTCTCTGACCATCCTAGAAAGGAGAAACCTCTCCGTGAGCGCTCGTGGCACCCGTTCCTTCTCTTCTCACAGGCAGGCTCTCCTCCATCACTGATCCCTCTCCGCTCGATCATTGGGCTGAGGCTGGTCTTCTTTCAGACTCCATGTCGTGTAGATTTGAACAGAGATGTGCTGCGACCACCAGGAAGTACCAGGATGTGAGCGGAGGCTAGCTGCTCTTTCTCATTTGAGCTGAAACACAAACAAATGAACAAAATAATAATTAAAAACATCCTTCACAATAACAGCTTTTGTTTTGGCAAACTGCAAAGACAAAATCTTTTCATTTAAAAGCATCGACACCAGTACTGATTTACCAATTCTGAGCTAAGGTTTGGTGTGGTCGTAGCCAAGCAAGGCGAGCATCATCCCCAACACACAACAATAGCTGTAACGGTCTGTCTGTTAGCAAAATATCTCATGAGTCCTTGGGCAAATTTCAGTCAAACTCTTAAAGGCACAGTGTGTAGGATTTTGTCAATTCTTTTAGCCGAAATTGAGATAATCACTAATGACAATAATAAAAAACATGTCTAATCATTGCAGACAAAGACTTTGTTTTATTATTTTTACCTTATAAAAAGCTCTCTCTTTTTACTCAGCTTTCAGAGAGAGCTGAGTCAGAAAGCGAAGCTCTCGATTTACCGGTCGATCTACGTTCCTACCCTCATCTATGGTCATGAGCTTTGGGACATGACCGAAAGAACGAGGTCCCGGATACAAGCGGCCGAAATG